CTTCCTTCCAAGGAGTGGCTGGTGGGTTTGAACCGCCAGCCTTCTGGTGAGCAGTCAAGTGCCTTAGGCATTATGCTACCAGAGCCTCACTCTTTAGTGGGATCCAATTCCCTGGTCTCTTTGCTATCTTTTGCATCTGTTGTGTTGGCTTTTCTTCCCTCCCACCCCCTCATTTCATAGCCTATCCAAACCTTACCTTCTCTCCAAGTATCTCTTGAAAGTCACTGTTTCCTGAAAGCCCACACTGCTTGCACCAGCCCTTAGTGTTGCCCTCCCCCCCACTGAAATGCAATAGCTTCCATTTACTGGTGTCTGATAAAGTAGCACTTGATTCTTATGTGCCTTTATCTGATTCACTGATGTTATTTATATGTGTCAGTCTTGTCCCCTCAGCTGATCCTCATTCTTAATTCATGAAAGTAGAGATGGATTAAGTTGCTTTCTTCTATTAGTCTAATTAGGTTGAATTCCAGCACATAGTAGGGCCTCAGTAAATAGATTCTGACTTTTTTAAACCACTGTAGAATTTTGATATATTCCTGGGGTTACTGAAGCTCCTCCCTCATACTAGAGAGAATAGAGACATCTCTGGAGGTTGGCCAAATGGGAGAAAATTCCTGGGTAAGGTTGGTTGCTGGAAAGTCCCAGTCTCCTCAAGGATTTTCTTCCCTGGAGCAGATTTCCCAGGGATATACATATTTCCCCAACTGAAGAAAAGCATATTGGGGTGAGTGAGACATTAACCTTGTGGTTCTTGCTTTCTTACAGGGATTTGAAACTGGACAACATCCTTCTAGATGCAGAAGGTCACTGCAAGCTGGCTGACTTTGGGATGTGCAAGGAAGGGATTCTGAATGGTGTGACAACCACCACGTTCTGTGGGACTCCTGACTACATAGCCCCTGAGGTAAGAGCTAATGAAAAGGACCACCTCATGCTGGTCCCAAGGCTCATGCATAAGTCCATCTACCTGCACTGTAGGTTTCTAATGGGGATTGCAGAAAGCTCTGGAAAACCAGGATGGATTCTAGGGAGGAGGAAAAGAGGAAAGGCAAAAGACTGCTGATTTCTTCATAAGGAAGTGGTGGTGGTGATGAAGATGATGGGTAAACTGAGAATAACAGGACAGATGTGGACAAGTCCTGACTGAATACTATGCTTCCATTCTAGTCCAGAAAAAAAAAAAAAACTAGAACCAAGAGAAATTTATTGACTAGCATTGTTTTCACTTCTAAATAACCAGACTAAATAAGCACCAATGATAAAGTCAGCAATCAAGTTTATCAACTGTAATTTGCCTACAGTAAGACCAGGGTTGATTTGCCATTTCATGTGTAATAGTGATTCTAAAGAGTGGCCCCAAAGGATAGGGTAGGAACAGAAGAGTGACCATATCTTATTATAAACAAAGACCAGAAATGTTCATTGTGAGTTTTGCCAATGGACTATCTTTCATGAAAATTATGTGAACCTTTTGCTCATTATAAAGTGTTAGTTTGCTTTGGGCTTCTCAGGCCAATCCTGCCCAAATGGAGCAGTAGCTAGTGTGATATGATTCAGGTTTAAGGCATGATCAATAATAGACACTTAGTAAAAATGGTCTTGAAGATTCTGACACATAGTAAGCTGGGAGGGAAGTAGCAATCTCCATTAGACATTGCCTATGATGAATAGATATTAGCACAATCACATTTTATTTTCTTTCAGTGGACATTCTTTGAGTCCCTGCTAGACACAAAGCAGTGTGGTAGATAAAGACTTGACTAAGACAGTGATCCCAGAAACTTTTGATCTAGAGGGAGACAGATAAGCAAGCAACTAATTAATCAGAATAACTAAAACCAAAAAAAAAAAACAAACTAACTGCCATTGAGGAGTCAATTTTGACTGATAGCAACCCCCTTTGGGTTTCTGAGGCAGTAAATCTTTATGGAAGTATATTGCCCAGTCTTACTTCCATGGAGTGGCTGGTGGGTTTGAACTGCCAGCCTTCTGATTAGCAGTCAAATGCCTTAGACACTATGCCACCAGAACATGGAACATAAAATAGGATGGTACTCTCAAGGATCAGGGAAGACTTTTCATAGTACCCAGTAGATGAATTGAGTTGGAAATAATAAACAGGATTTCCCAGAAGATTAATACTAAATTTTCAGAAATAGATAACCCATTGAATGGGCAAAGGAGTAGAATTGAATCAATGGAAGATAGAATTAATGAGATTGAAGACAAATACCTCAGTATTTGGAAAGAGATCAGTCAGAAAAAAGATCAAAGCAAAATGAAGAAAGCCTAAGGGTCATGTGGGATACCATCAAAGGGAATAACCTATGTGTAATTGGAATTTCATAGTGCCTAAGGCATTTGACTGCTAACCAGAAGGCTGGTGGTTCAAACCCACCAGCCACTCCTCGGAAGGAAGGTTGGGCAATTCTACTTCCATAGTGATACTGCCTCAGAAACCCAAGGAGGGGTCACTATGAGTTGGGGCCAACTTGACGGCAAATAACAGCAAAAAAAAAAAATTGGAATTCCAGAACAGGAAGAGACAAATAAAACCACTGAGAAAATTGTTGAAGATTTGTTGGAAGAGAATTTCCCTTGTATGATAAAAGATGAGAATATATCCATTCAAAAAGTCCAATGAACCCCAAACAGGATAGACACCCAAAAGAAAATCACCAAGGCAAATCATCATCAAACTCACCAAAACCAAAGATAAAGAAAGAATCCTGAAAGCAGCATGAGAAAAACAAAGAGTTACCTGCAAAGGACAACCAATAAGACTAAGCTCAGATTTCTCAGCAGAAATCATGCAGGCTAGAAGACAATGGGATGGTATATATAAAACCCTGAGAAAGAAAAATTTCCAACCAAGAATGATATTGTCCCTCACATATGATAGTGAAATTAGGACATTTTCAAATAAGTAGAAGTGAAGAGGATTTGTTAAAACCAGACCAACCTTACAAGAGATGATAAAGGCAGTCCTTTGAACAGAGAACCAACAACAGCAAACAACAACTGACCATTAACACATATAATGACATAACCCAGAAACCAACCCAGTTATGGAGTATCCAAAGTAAATAAGCCTACAAAATTGTAAAAAGTGAACCAGAGACATCAATTGACAAAAATAGGACAACTACAAACCAAAAAGAGGGAAAAAATATATATAGTTACATAACTTCTAAATGGTAGAGAAGTCAAGACAACTGCAAGAAAAATGGACTATTCTAAACTTGGGAAGAAAAATATAAATCACAGGATAACCTCAAAGAAACAGAGGACAAGCACAAGTACTTAAACCAAAAACCAAACTCACTGCCATCAGTTCTGACTCATTGCAACCTCTCTTTGGGTTTCTGAGGCAGTGTCACTATGGAAGTAGATGGCCCAATCTTCCTTCCAAGGAGTGGCTGGTGGGTTTAAACCACCAGCCTTCTGGTTAGCAGTTAAATGCCTTAGGCACACACCACCACTTAGCAAATACTAAAACAATAGAAATGAAGGAAGTCTTAACAGAATTCATAAACAAAATGAGCTCAGCACAGAAAATTATATAGAAGAAAGAAATCAGCAACACCGCAAAAAAAGCACATCACAGAATGGCAGGAACAGATTCATACTTGTCGATAATTACATATCTGACAACAGACTTATCTCTAAATTTATAGAAAACTCCAGAACCTCATCAACAAAAAGATTAACAATCCAAATAAAAAATTGGCAGAAGACATAAATAGACACTTCACCAAAGAGGATATTCAGGTGGCCAGTAAATACATGAAGAAATGCTCATGATCATTAGCCATTAGAGAGATGCAAATCAAAACAACAATGAGATATCATCTCACCCCAGCACTAATGGCAAAGTTCAACAAGACAGAGAATAATAAATGCTGGCAAGGATGTGGAGAGATTGGGACTCTCATACACTGCTGGTGGGACTGTCAAATAATATAACTACTTTGGAAAGCAATATGGTGATTCCTTAAGAAGTTAGAATTAGAAATGCCATTTGACCCAGTAATCTCATCACTAGGTATATATCCTAAAGAAGTGAGAGCCAAGACAAGAACAGATATATACACACCCATGTTCATCACAGCACTATTTTCAATAGCAAAAAGATGGGAGCAACCTAGGTCCCCATCAACAGAAGAATGGAGAACCAAACTATGGTACATACACACAATGGAATACTATGCAACACTAAAGAATAATGTAGAATCTGCAAAACACTGCATGACATGGATGAATTTGGAGGACATTATGCTGAGTGAAATAATTCAATCACAGAGGGACAAATATTGTATTAGTTCATTGTTGTAAAAAGTCAAGGAAAGGTTTATATATGGAAGGAAACTTTCTTTGTTGGTCACCAGAGATGAGAGGGGCAGGGAAGAAACACTGCTAGATGGGTAGAGGCAAGTATTATATGGGTGAAGGGAAAGGCAGTGAACCAAATGTGAGTGATGAGCTTGGTGGCATTGATGAAGAGGAAGACATAGAGAGGTACATGGAAGGTACAGACAGCTGAGATGAACTCATTTGCATTTACAGTACTATGTTGTCAGTGATGGAAAGTATTGATCTGTGGGTAGACAGATGAATGGACAGGCTATGTCTAGGCAGGGGGTAGTGTGCCCATGATCATGCATAGGTTTAGCAGACAGTGTTTCTACATGAGTATTTGTATGTGCTATAAGAATGTCCTAGTGTATAGTAGAGCTGACAAGTGACAAGGTTGTGGTGGAATCTTGGCCACAGCCAGCTACCCGGAGTGAGCTAGTGGTTGGACATGTGGGCTCAGAACCATGGTCACAGGGGACATCAAGTTCAATTGGCATAACATAGTACACAAAAACATTGTTCTACATCCTAGTTTGGTGAGTAGCAACTGAGATCTTAAAAGCTTGCAAGTAGTCATCTAGATGCAATGATGGGTCTGTCCTCATCCAGAGCAAAGAAGAATGAAGTAAAGCAAAGATCATGGAAATAATTACTCCAAGGGACTTGTATTAGTTCATTGTTGTAAAAAGTCAAGGAAAGGTTTGTATATGGAAGGAAAATTTCATGTACTATGCGATCCTCACCCTATATGACCATGAGACTGGAAGAACTAGATGGTGCCTGACTACCACTGTCAACCACTTGGAGGGGGATCGGTGCAGGAGATCCTAGATGGAGTGGAAGAACAATATGGAAGAAAACTAAAAATCATAAAAAAAAAAAAAAAGAAAAAAGACCAGGTTTGCTGCTCTGATAGAGCCTGGTGAAACCCCGGAGAGTATAGCCTCTAGCTACCCTTTAGGTCTGGAATTTGACTCACTCCTGTGACTTCCAGCCAAATAATAGGCATCTGAGGTGGACATTTGCATCAGGTAGATACATTACTTGGAGCAGTTAATCATGGGAGAACAGAAGAGTAGTGTTTGCACAGGGTGACAACTCAAGGAGCGGGAGTGCAAGGAAGAGAAGGACACAGGGAAGAGGTAACTATGGGGAGGAAGTGGGGAGAGAGCTGTTACATTGTGGGGAATTGCAGTCAATGTCATGAAACAAAATATGTATGAACTGCTGTTTGGAAAATGAATTTGCTCTATCAGCTTTCACCCAAATCACAATAAAAATTAATTTTAAAAAAGAATAAGCAGGATTTCCATTGGTGGGAATGGTGGAGAGGAATTTTTGAAACAACACAGAGAGGATTAGAGTGGGAATGGGAAGGAAGAAGAAGGTGTAGAATCCCTAGGTTCTGAATCTTTTGAGAACAAGTCCTTTGTTTCTGATCTGGGCGCTGCCAGAGTCCAGCAGACCAATCAGACTCTTACTAGTGTTTTGCTGAATGAACAAATGAGAACTCTGTGAGATTCCAACATGATCAAGGGACATGAGGTG